TTTTATCAATCGAGAAAAGCAGCTCTTAATTTTTTTAATTACAAAAATTGGTTTTCAACAAAATTAACACATGGATTTCCTCCAGACGACATGAATTCATGTACTATTATTTTGGGTGCAAAATTAGTAGGTCGACGACATTTTCTTATTGATCCATTAGCTGCTTTATCAGGTGCACGTCATTTCTTTGTTAATTATTTTATAAATCAATCATATTATGGAATAATCGAAGGTGGTTTTCTTGGAAATAATTTTGGTTATAGTGGTCTTTCAACAGCACATATAAAACCTTATGGTTGGGATCATGGTGGATTACAATGGCAAGTACCAACACGTCAATGTGAAAAATTAATTTTTTGTTTACAAATAAACACAATTCGATATCATAGTTTTTCATTATCATATCATTTTTTATTTGGTCCAAACAGTAATTCATTTATATGGTGGGTATTTAATCAATGTTCGATAAATATAACACCTGTTTTTGTGAAATATCCATTTGTTGGTATAGATTACTTTTGGACACGTGAAAGTCCATCGAAGGATAATTCGTTATGATGACGATAGATATTATAGAAATTTTGATGAAAAATAAAAAATATCACACAAAAAGGATTTTTACTATAGTTTATTATCCAAAGATGTAGACTTGTTCTATTCTATGAAAATCTCATCTATGTCTTTTTCTATGAAACTTGCAATAGAATTGATATCAACATTATTAACTTGATTTGTTACAAAAAAAAAGAAGATTCAATTTTAAATCATATTTAATAAAATCATGTATATTTTGCTTCTTTACTATTCAATAAATTTTATTTCTTGGAAATATTTTCTAAAATCGCTCATGCTTTCATTATTATAGCTTTTAATGTTTTTTTCTATGTGAGAAAATATTGTCTTAGCTGTTTTGTTTGTAAACGAAATAGATCTTCTATTAAAACCATCACAACAAAAGTTAGAATATTAGAAAGTTCTATTTATATGGAAAATTTAGTGAACATTTTCTTGTTTTAGGATTGTATTTTTTCATCAGATCTATAGATCTTTTCTACACTCCTAAACCGATGATATGCATCGATTAGGTTATGCAGCATGAGACAGACATGATTGATACGATTTTCATATAACATGGACGAAAATTTTCATACTTTTGTATTTAAAAACCAATTTAGTGCTGAAACCTTTATGATGAAAAAATGCTCCATCTTACGCTCTATCAATCTATAAAACAGATGTTCCAAAAGTTGCGACCTCTCTCTCTGTAAATTAACGTTATCTACATATAATACTATATTTAGAGGTAGTTGATTGAAATATATAACTTTGTAGAGAATGAGAAGATCTATCATCTGAAAATAAATAGGTCAAACTATGTCATAGTTATGATCATTTTATTTATGATTCATCGGTTCATGAAAATCGAAAAAATTCTTTTTGGCTTTACTATGTGACATTGCATCTTGAAATATAAATTAATCGTCGATCAGCTAAAATTATTGAAAATCAAGCATACTCTCTAATGCAAGACACAAAAGTTATTTCTTAATCCCTCTGGTTTCTGCTAAGTTTTGCATTACACAGAGAATCACAATTTTTTTTTGATATTCATATTCTTGTAGATGTTTTCAAACTCTATCAAATCATATAAAAATTTCTAGTAAAAACATGAAAGAATTTTTTTTTGTTTTTACAAAAAATGTAAGATATAGAATGCTTAGTCATCATGAATAAAATGATCATAACGATGACACAGTTTGAATCATTTATTTTCGAATGATAGGTCTTCTTAGTCTCTATAAAACTATACATTTCAATCAACTACCTATAAAGGGTATGGGTATGCTATATACCGACACTTCTATTGTCACATTTCTTTTGTTTATATTACTACTATTAAAAGAGATAATCTCATTGAATAAAATATCATTGAAAACATTAACTTAAGTACTCAAAGCTCTTATAGAAATAGTGGGGTAGGAATCATTCTTTCTTTACACATAAACTAATTTTCTTTGAGTTTTAAAATTTATGGAACATTCTGGAGAAACTTTGACGAATTCTTAAGCACCAAGAAAAAAAACAGTTTAATTGATTAAAACAGAGTTGAAAGACTGAGTTTTTTTTATATGGCCTAATTATTGATAGGTCACTTTGAATATATGATGTCAACAAAAAAAAATGATTATTTCTCTTTCTTCTAAACATAGAATTTTATTCGTTCTGCATAGTAATTAAAAACCTTATATCTATGAAATTCGTATCTAAAGAAAGCTTTCATCAATAAGTCTTCATCATACAAACATTGATGAAATTATTTCATAACAAAAAAAAAAAAAATCTCATAAAATACATTTCTCTCATTATTTTTAAGTGTTAGTATATTTACTACGTCACATATATCATTTAAATCACATCTGTTGAATAGATACAATGTTATTCTCTGTTACGTATTTTGACTAATACAATGCTTCCTATTGATTTATTTTTTTTTTTCAAATCAACACCTTATAACAATAGTTAGTGTTTTCTTTCCTTCCAATTGATTCTCTTTTTCTTTTCTTCTTGAATTCTTTTTTTTTTAGTTTCATTAATCATTTTCCTTTTGTTTTTATACAACTGATTAAAATCATGTATCGTTCTTATCCGAATGTTTTGCCTGTTGCAAATAAATATCTTGGACATAAACTCTTACTCAAAACTCAAGCAGATCATGAAAATCATGTAGGGTCTTCATTTTTTTTTGTTTTCAATGATATTAAAATATATGAATTTTGTTAGATAAAAAATGCACGTAGTGTATTAAATCTAACAGAATCAACATCTCGATTTCATTTGACACAAAGTTTTAGACATAAGCAGGTTAGTTAATTGATTAAATATCCTTATATTATCTATTTATAATAGGTAAAAGAACATGAATTATCAATGATTAAACAAGAAAATGAACGTCTTCGTAGAAGAATGAGAAGAACTGAATCACTTGTTGATACTCACAATAATTATGTTCTTCATAGGTAAATATATTGAAGATGATTTTTATTAATTAATAATTACTATATTTTTGTTCAGTTTGAATATTGCACAACGACAACGTGAAAAAATTCAACATGAAAATGAATTTCATCGTCTTCAAAAACAAATAAGTCAAGTTCGACCAAGTTATCCAGCAACACGATTTCAACAAGATTATGCAAAAAAACAAGATGTTAAAAAACGATTGAGTAGATTTCCATCGAATGATAAATAAATAATTATTAGTCTGTTCTTTTTTTTTCTCTTTTTCTATTATAAAATTATATCAATAAAATTTACTTCATATATGACTATCAATAATTTTAAAGATAAAACATATGTTAATTTTCTCATAGAAAAAGAATCGTAAGTCCAAATTATAAGAATATATAATCTTAAGCATACAAGAAAAAATCAAAGCCTATTGAAAAATGTCTTTCGAAAAAGATTCATTATCACCACCACCACCACCACCTTATTCTGATCCTCCTGTAAGTTCTATTCATCCATTAATAATCAATGCTGATGTATCTTATATAAATGATTATTTACCATGGTCTATTATTAATCTATTTTGTGGTTGGGGTTTTTTTGGTATTATACCATTGGTTTTCTCGATTATTTGCCGAAATGATAAAAGTATTAATAATTTAAGTGGAGCTCAAACGATGAGTAAATTGGCATTAGTATTCAACTTGATCGTTACTCTAGGAGGAGTTATAGGATGGGCTATATTTATCCTTGTTATCTCGAATTATATAGCTATTCTTAGTTTTTCTAAATAAATAAATCATAATAAAAAACGATCTATGCCTACTCTCATAGGTTTATTAGTCAATAATTAAAAGGCAAAGGTAGATTTTTTTTCATATATAGTTGAATAGAGGGTATGTCAAATACTTTGAAAAAATAATTATAAGGTTTTTTAAAAATATCCATGATGGAAAAATATTTGGTTTTTATATCATATTCTATTTTTGAATGAAATGGGTCGATTTCATAAACGACATCAAAAATTTTTTTATTTGATATTATTTTTAATTCTCTCAATCTAATTTTTCCTAATTGATCTTATTACTAGAAAAGTATAATAAGTATTCCTTTGATAAAAAGATTATGAAAAGATGCTTTGAAAATAGTACTACATTGTTGAGAAAAGCAAAATTTTCTATTTCACTCGCAAAATTGTGCTTGTATTTAATAACTTTGATCATCATGATGTCATTCATGTACAAAATACATCTGAGATTCAAATTTGTCTTTAAAAATTGAGAAGGATGACAGATGTTTTGTACGAAAAATATTTTTCATCCCACACCCACTCCCCCTCAGTCCTTTTTTAATTACATTCAGTTTTTAATAGAAAATCTGAATATCATATCCAATTTACTGATAAATCAAACCTTAATGTCAATATCGCTACATACAAGCATGTTTTAATCACCTGACAATATTTAACATATCTTCTATCCATCCATGTAAAAAAAAGAAGACGAAACCATCTTACTATGATTTCAAATATCTGGCAATTTATCTAATTGATATAATAATGTTCGTTTTTGACATTGTTTGATTTGCTTACCTAGACGTTCGATCAAAATGCTGTAAAAGCTGTAGTTCATGAATAATGATTGCAATCATGGTACTAATTTATTGATCAAATAAACTGAGTCTCATATATTATTATTTTTATGAAAGATTATCTCGATCTAGAGAACGTCTGAAAAGAGTTTCTCTTATTTTGGTTGAAAGTAAAAAATGTTGAACACTGTTCTGGAAACTTCTGAATATTTTTCTTATTGAGAAAATTAAAAATCTAAGCAGATAGATTTGAATTAAATGCTTAGTGTTAAAAAAGACTTTCATATCTTCGTTTATTAATATTCAGTGATGCTCCTATTGAATAATCATAAGATTTTTTTTCTACTAGTATTGAAAACATATCATTGAAAAGATAAGATTTTGAAATGAGAGAATCATTATATCGATAATACAAAATATTTACTTGATTTTATACTATTGTTCACATTCATAGTCGCATCCATTTGGATATAGAATCATTGCTGACATAATCTACAACTGTACATATATATATATAGGAAAATAATTCCATGTTCAATACATCACTATATTCGACAACGGAAGCGAACTTACACTTAATTGTATGATTATAAAAGGAAACCTTGTTTAACAATGCAAACATATGACAAAAAGATGTAGAACCAACGTGAACAATTGACCGAATGCTTTTAATAATTATTAAGTATCAATCGTTGACTATTTGAATCAAACTGATATTTTGTTCATAAACAAATCT